GCAGGAACTGGGGAACAGGCGGGCCAGTCCATAGCATCAATGCCTTCATCTTGCAGGAACTGCTGACACACTCCAGCCAGGTCTAGCATTGTCTTGCATTAGGAGGAACCCAGGGCCAACTGCACCAGCATATGGTCTCACAAGGGGTCTGAGGATCTCATCTTGGTACCTAATGGTAGTCAGGCTACCTCTGGCGAGCATATAGAGGGTTGTGTGGCCCCCGAAAGAAATGCCACCCCACACCATTACTGACCGCCAAACCGGTCATGCTAGAGGATATTGCAGGCAGCAGAACGTTCTCCACGGTGTCTCCAGACCCTGTCATGTCTGTCACATGTGCTCAGTGTGAACCTGCTTTCATCTGTGAAGAGCACAGGGTGCCAGTGGCGAATTTGCCAATCTTGGTGTTCTCTGGCAAATGCCAAACGTCCTGCACGGTGTTGGGCTGTAAGCACAACCCCCACCTGTGGACATCGGCCCTCATACCACCCTCATGGAGTCTGTTTCTGACCGTTTGAGCAGCCACATACACATTTGTGGCCCGCTGGAGGTCATTTTGCAGGGCTCTGGCAGTGCTCCTCCTGTCCCTCCTTGCACAAAGGCGGAGGTTGCAGTCCTGATGCTGGGTTGTTGCCCTCCTACGGCCTGCTCCACGTCTCCTGATGTACTGGACTGTCTCCTGGTAGCGCCTCCATGCTCTGGACACTACTCTGACAGACACAGCAAACCTTCTTGCCACAGCTCGCATTGATGTGCCATCCTGGATGAGCTGCACTACCTGAAACACTTGTGTGGGTTGTAGACTCCGTCTCATGCTACCACTAGAGTGAAAGTACCTCAGGCATTCAAAAGTGACCAAACCATCAGCCAGAAAGCATAGGAACTGAGAAGTGGTCTGTGGTCACCACCTGCAGAACCACTCCTTTATTGGGGATGTCTTGCTAACTGCCTGTGCTTTCCACCTGTTGTCTATTCCATTTGCACAACAGCATGTGAAATTGATTGTCAATCAGTGTTGCTACCTAAGTGGACAGTTTGATTTCACAGAAGTGTGATTGACTTGGAGTTACACTGTGTTGTTTAAGCGTTCCCTTTATTTTTTTGAGCAGTGTAGTATTATGTAACAGCATTCTGTTTTTATCAATCAGAGGTCCATAATAACAGGACTATGCTGTTTCCTTGGCAACATTTTCAGAAGTCATTTGCCAATATCATCTTCTGGGGTAGTTTTGTTTTGGTTTTTTTTTAAATTCCCTGCCTCAGTAAAGAGTAACAGGTGGTCCTCGACTTGCAACAGTTCATTTAGTGACCATTCAAAGTTAAAACAGCACTGAAAAAAGTTACTTATTGCAACAGCACTTAGACTTATATACCACTTCACAGTGCTTTACAGCCCTCCCTAAGCGGTTTACAGAGTCAGCCTTATTGAGGTAATTGCCCGTTAGAAGAATGAGCGCAAACAGGGAGACGTAGTGAGAGAAGTGTTGAATAATACACACACAGCACACAGATACACTGTACAGTAAACGTAGGTTTTTACTTTCAATAAACGGTTAAGCAAAGTTCAAGATAAGCAGTCCAAAGTCATTCACAGGTAAGGCAGTCAGTGTCCAGTCCAGGGATAATCCAAATATCAAAGTCCAGTATCAAAAACAGTTCAGTAACAGACTTACATCAAATCCAAGAATATCAGTCAATTAGGAAAAATGGAGGAACGGCAATACTCTCCAACAGAAGG